TCCAAGCCTTGCTTCCGAAAATCTGCACACACTGCACTGCAGCAGTCAGTGGCTCTTGCCCACACTGAAAAAAAGATCTAGATCCCTGCGCATGGCAGGGGGAAGGAGGGGAAGGATGGGACTATGTGATCTTAAGGTCCTTTCTCACTCTGTTCTGTGATTCTGTGGTCAGTCCCTGGAGACATGAGACATGCTTCCTCATGGCAACAGAGCTTGAGGTACTAATAAAAGGCAGATGCCTTCTGTCTCTTTAGTAGAAAAATTCCCCACATCCCTGGGGAGAGAAATCCATTGATGGCCTTTAAAACTGAATCTCACACCTGGCAATTGTTAATGTCCTAAATCTGTCCACACAGGAGACCAGGCAACAATACCCTATAAAATACTGCTTGTACATGGTCTCTATGCTCCAGAACTATCTAAACGCACAACAGTCTGCAATTAACTGTTGTGTGTCTTAAGAATGAAACACATCTTCCAATACGAATGGGCTGTTTAATGATGTTCCATAAGCACAACAGGTCTGTTTTCTTGTAAGAGTATGAGGCTACACACAGCTGAACACTTAGAGAAGGGTTCCTCACATGGTCCCAAATCAATTATCAGCTTGTATTTATTTATTCAGCAGAGGTAGTTGCTTCTCAAGACAACCCATCTCAAATTCTGAAAGCCATCAGTAGACTCAGAAGGATTTAAGTTGGTATGTTTTTTCTGGCTTTGTTTTTGGTAATTTGCCAGTGAAAACTGTTTTAAACTTTCTTATGGCTTCACTCAAGATATCTCCTTTTGGGAAAAGGATTCCAGCATTTTGCAAGCAGTGGTATTACATACTTCACCTTTTAAAGCTCTCTGTGCTGCAGGCTGGGTATCAGTCAATAATTCTGTTTCTGTACAGTTGGTTCCTGCTAGGCAAAAAAAAATGTGAGGGGCCTGAATTAGTCTGTTCAGCTTTTTCCAGTATAAACGTTTGCACATGCCTTTTTTAAACCTTCCATTCTCTGATTTAATCATGACATTCCTCTGAACAGCAGCGTGTGGAAATGAACGTTCTCACATTGCTTAAGGTCCAAAGGTAAGTTTTCTCCATTTCGTATACTGCAGGAAAGGAACAATTTTGAAACTTGCCCTGACTTCTCCCCTTTTCTGCCAGTTCATGTCAAAATTACACAGAACACAGCCTCAACTGGTACCTGAAGGAATGTTCTCACTTACAGAACAGCTGCAGCTTCTTAGGGCAAGTAATATTTTTAGCATGGACATCCAAAGGCTTCCTACATAGCTCATAGAACTGTTTCTTGAGAAAAATCAGCATGTTTTTTTTTTCTTCCACCCCCTCCTCCTCTTTAAACCCTCATTTTAAAAATTTACTTTTTCATGACTAACAAAAATGACTTGGAGGTTCCTCTTTAATTCAAACCACTGAGATGTGCACACATCAAGATTAACATTCAGCTTGTTGTAGTTTGAAGCTGTGCTATGTGATCCTGGAATTATTTCAGTATTTCAAGTTTCTTCCTACTAGAGTTTTACAAATTAAAACTACATTTTTCTTCTAAAACTTCTGAAACTTAGTTATTATCTCATAAGGTTACATTTGTATTTTTAATATTAATAGCTCCTCAGTAAGTCTTCATATTTTAAGTGATTTACAGATGCTTAGTTCATTTTTAAATGAAATAGAATTCCATGCCATGATAGCTGTCTTGATGTTGTTCTGTTCTAGTTGCTGCCCATCAGGAACAGACAGGAAGAATGCAACACAGGCAATGGAAGGAAGCAGGATTTTACACATTACATTGGAATTAAAGAGAAAAGATCACAACAGCCAAGATATCCCATGGGTTTGGCTGAAGCATTTTGTGGCTGCCCTTCCCACTTCAGTCTGTTCTGAGTCCATGCAGCAACAATATCCATGGAAACACTGACTAATACGTTTAGGAAATTGAAACAAGCTTACGCTCTCTAAATAGAGCTGAAATACAGTGTAGGTGTAGAATTAACTGAGCTTCAAAAAAAAAAAACAAACAAACAAAAAAAAAGGCACAGAGGTCACTCAAGTAAGTGGCTGACAGTGACAATATAAAACTGAAGTTAAGCCTCCTTTCATTTAGCTCATGCATGTGCATGTTGTGTTAAAGATGGAAGACTGCATAAATTTGGTACCACCTGAAAGACTTCCAGACATGCTTCCAATGCCAGCATGACCAGAGCATGGTCCACTATTGCATCATGTAAGTTCCACAAAGCTAGAGGCACCAGTGGCAAGAGCTGCAGAAATGCTCCCACCCACAACCTTTCCTATAGCTGACTCCACAAGTCACACCTCTAAAGTCTTTACTTTTCCTTAGCTTTATGATCTTAATTTGCTTAACCAGCTGCAGGTTGGGATAACAAGCTGTGTTTGGAATCACTGTGTTTTTTCATTTCCAGAATAAACTGTTCTGTCATTTTCTGGTTCACTGAAGATTTCTAAGGTGTTTTTGTTACTATGTGGCTTGAGTTGAATGTTACAGGAAAAACTGCATTTCCCATAAATTGGAGATCTCCTTTCAGCTACCTCTGTCACTCTTATCCATTTGGGTTTACTGTCTCTGGACTTTTGTCCTTGCTGCTGTAGTATCAGCATCTGTGGGCGTTTTCCTCAGTTCAGAGATTGAGGTCTCCTCCTTGCAAACACAGCATGGCATTTGCAGTTGGTTCTTTAGATCCTGTCTGTCTCTATGTTCATGGCTTATTGCTTATCCTCAGCAAGAGGAATCTTTGTTTACACACAGAACTAAACTGGGAAAAAAAACTCCAAAGTGTTTATCCAAAGTGAATTAAAACTGAAACTTAGCCCAGGAATGAGGACTCTGACCCATATGGAAGGAGACAGGCATGTTCAGATCAGGGGAGAAATAACATCTCCTGCTTGGGCCTCATAGCTTTAACTGAGACCTCAATTCAAATTTCTGCTATGCCACATGTTACCTGGGACATGTCACTCACAAAATCCATGCCCCTTGCCTGTAAAATGAATCCAATTCTTGGCTAATTCTTATGCCAGGAGAGATATGAAGACATAAGCTTTGAGGTTCATAAGTATATGAACCTCAGAGTTAACAAAAATATTCCCACCAAGATAAAACTTCCTTCTATCACACCTACAGACTGTTTCTGTGTCAACAGTGCACTGTGTATTTTAGCACGGTTTGCTTGGGCTTTTTCCTATAAATGTTGTTCTTTCTCACATGCAAATGTGGCAGACTTTGCTTAACAATTGTAAAAGCAATGTACATTGTACCTAGTACTGTCAGTTCAAGGTCAAGACAAATTTATATGTAAAATTGTGTTTACTTGTGATCTGATATGCCTCATGCTTTCTCTTCTTGCTTTCCGCCTCTCAATGGTAGTCAACCTACTGGTGTTAATAACTGGATATGTGAACTTGTCTTCTATAAGGAGTCCTGCACTTACTCCCTCCTATAGAAAGCTGATTCCATCAAGAATGTGAGAGTAGTACTCTAATGCTGGGTTAAGTAGCAAGGTTTCTGGCCTGCTTTCATTCTAGTGGATGTCTTCTAGCTTTAAGTTCATAAATAACATTACTGCTCCAAAACCATCCTGGGCTTCTCTGTTTATTGCTTAGCACTAAAAGATACAGAAAATCCAAGGCTGACAATATTGCATTACTCTTATTATCTCTGCAGTCAGAGACATGTAACTAGAAATCCCAGCTGAAGAATGACTCAGTAAAATAGTGAGGTAAATCTTCAAAGAAAGTTCCCAAGATTTTTCCCTGACTTAGGAAGAAACAGGATACTCTGTTCATCAGCATAAATGGAAAGAGGACACAGAACTGGGCAGAACAGTGATATTCTTAAATATTTTTAGTAAGAAATAAACCAGTTGGGAAGAAAACATAAGATTTCAACAAAACAATATTTGTTGGAGATATCTGTTCCCCACACAAGTGATATACCTATAATCCTGTACAAAAAGAGCATGAAGAAACAACGTACTATAGGCCACAGATTACCTAACTAATTGATGTATGAACGGACTATCTTCATAGTTTGCTGCTCTGAGTAATTTCAGCACCACAACATGTTGTTAGGGTCCCTCGGGTTCACAGATCACACAAGAGCTTCCTCACCATGCCCAAGCTTACACAGGTTACTCCCTGCTGCATCCCAAAGAAAGCTGCTTGCAAGAACTTTTCTCCATACCTAGCATAGCCTGCACTTAGAAAACAGGGAGGGTCCTGAAATGGGAACAGCAGGGCGGTCACTGCTTGTCTGAAAAGTTGAGAGAGAAAACACTCATGCACATTGCTTGGATTTTTGGATTTTGGAGATGAGTGACAAAGGTGTTTTCTGTCACTCAGCACCAAATCAGCAATTTGACTGCATTTTGGCTGCAACAAATTCCACAAGTTTCACTGTAATACACTAGCATCAGAAACTGTTGTGTCTGGTGACTTACATTCACATACATGAACTGCTGAAGGATGCCTTTCAAGCAATATTGCATGCAAACTCCACAACATATAAAAAAAAAAAAAAGAACAATATAAATCAATGCAATGTGATGATACTTTTTTTTCCAAACTGTCACAGAATATTTGCTCCAGATTACCTCTGAGAACATGAAAGAGCCAATAACTTAGGAAAGACTCTGGTACTTTCCACAGTCTTGTCAGCCAAGGAGAAATAGTTCTCAGAAAAAAAAGATTACAAAGAGCAGACACGCAAAGCTCTTGCTTTTTCTTCTATAAAGAGATTTCCAATGCCTGTACTCATGAGCTGTCATGTTTTGTTGGTTTACCAGTGATTAGGAGTCAAGGGCAGGAGCCTCATGGCTGTGATATTAGTCATCTCCTGCTTCAGGGCAGTGCATGCACCAGCATTGCCAAATCTAACTTATTAGACAGGCTGACTGTGAGCAGCTTTATCAAACCTACGAACTTCAGCAGGCACTTCAGCTCCTTTCCGCCACCCTGAAGAAAGATCTGGTAACTGTAGAAAAAAACAATTTACCCAACCTACCGAGTTGAAAGCCAGCTAAGATGCCCCTGTGAATAGTGGTCTCTGGCCTGCATTGCAACAATGCTGGCTTTCTCACATGGACTTCGTGAGCTACCTCTCAGGTTTGTAGTTTGGGTAGAAGACCTGAGGTAGTCACCCCAGCTTGGAGTTCAACCTCTATTCCCAATCCCACACAATAAGCGAACACAATTAGGCTTCTACCTGATGGAAAACTGAACAAAAAAAATGGCTATGACCCTTTTCTAAAGGCCTGCAGATGCCATCCACTCTCCACAGAAACCATGCTTTACATGTAATCCTTCCAAGCACTACTCCTTTCCTGCAAGAGCCTTTTTTCATGCTCAGCTGATGAAGAACGCTGAATGATTGTTCCAAGTCCCTCTCTTGAAATGTAGGTGGTTCAAACTCAGCATGCAACTTTTGTTGTCAGTGGCAACCACAATGTCTCTAATAGGTTTCTCAGGGTAAGTGCTAAATACTTATTTTAGACTCAAAATTTCTTTCAAAGTACCTCCCACAACTGCTCTCCAGATCTGGCGTGGCACAAAAGCCACACCTATCTTTTCACTGCCTTTTACAACTAAACCTTCCTGTATATAATTAGCTTATTTTAATAATGTCCACACCATGAGGTCATTTTGCAGAAACCTCATTGGAGATACTCATGCATGTTCAGTTTGCTCAGTGACTGACATAATGAATTCTCTCTATATATAAGTCCTCTGAGAAGATGAGCTTCCTACAGGCTGCCTCCTTACTGAAAACCTCATAATTCTGCAAAAATGGTGAGTCCTTACATTTTATACTGTAAAAAAACATGTCATGTTGCTATAAATTTTAAAGGAGGTTCTTCTGGATTTAACTCATGATTCAGACATCTAAGCAACTTGGAGGAAGTATAAATTCTGTGTTTTGAGAGCAACAGTCAGACAGATAGGCACAGGCAGGTAAAACCTTGGGTAACATATCAGCATGTATACATCAGGAGATGTCTAATAGGAACTCCAGCTAAGGCTTTTTATTATAACCTGTTTTCACTTACATGTAATGTTTGGAGATACCTTTTCTGTCAGAAAGCAGCCCTGTTATATCTCAACCTATAACTGGTTAGTTTTTGTGAAGAGTCTAGATAATATCTGAAGTTAAACTCAAAAATGTTGTCTTAATTTTTACTCATTTGCAGCTCTGTGGGTTTTAATCTCTTCTGCAAAATAAAATGCTGGTTTCTCCTCTTCTTACCTCTCAGCTATAACTTTTTTATCAGCCACCAGATCAACTCTTTCCAAAACAAACACACATAAATACAATGTGTGCGTGTGTGTGTCATTGTCTACTGCTGGTCTACTTTTACCAACATTTGAAATTCATCACTGCTAATTCCATCCTAGAATTCTGCTCTTTTCCTTCACATCCCTAATGAAAACTTTTAATATTAGATTGAAATATTTGAAGGGCTAAGAGATTAGCTGAGAAATTTAAGCTGACCTTTCAGAAAAAGCTGATGACAAAGGTTAGCTAATATAGAGTTACCTAGGTTGGAAAGGACATCTGCAAGTCATTTGGTCAAGCCTCCTGCTCAAAGCAGGACCAAGTCTTGAGAGTTCAACTGTAGCTGAAGTTCTTCAGCTTGTTCCTAGTCCTTCAATGTTAGGTTAAGACCCCCAGTGGGATTTTCAGACTCCTGTGAAGTAGTTTTTACAACTAGGAGTGAGGTTAGTAGCAGAGGCAGTCAGTGACCGATCCCATGGAGAAAATAAGAACAAGAAAAATTAAAGGGGATGGGAACAGAACACACTCCTTTCAGAAGTAGTTCTGGGCCTACGAGTTCTGTATCAGGCAATGCTTGCTTTTGACACCTTGGAATAAAGACAGGCTCTTTCGCTCCTCCCACATAATGGTGTGCTTCTGTTTCTTCTAAATGGTTCATATTCCTGGTTGCATATTGAAGTTTCTAAACTGCAAAAGACAATTGGATTTTTTATTTGAAACTGCAATGTATTTTGCTATTTCTAATGGTAGTATTTATGACCAAGAAATATTAACAGTTACTGAAATATTCCTATGAATTCTGCTTTCTTGTACAGAAAACTATCTTGGCCTGCCTTCTTGTTCTTGCTGTTAGCATTCCACTGTCCCATGCTTATTGTGTCCGGCAGACATCAAAGCCAGAGTTGTCTGATGGCAAGATTGTAGGTAAGAAATCAGCTAACATCAACTTGACAGATGCCACCACAAGTACTGCCTGATTTGGTTTGTCCATTCCATACAATTTATCAAAATTCAAAAGTGGAAACAGTGGAGAGAAAACTTTAGGAAAGGGGAAGAAAATGGGGCATGGAGAGCAGGGAATTTATAATGTTATAAAAAGAAGAGATTATCTGAGGAGCATCACACAGACCAAATTAAAAATTAATTTTGTGTAGGGAAGTAGCACAGGCTTACTTTATCCATCTGCATGATGCAATAATTCGTGTTTTCATTATGGCAGCATATTTAGAAATACAAAGAAGGGGGGGAAAGGCCTTTCTCTGTGTCTGTATAGACAGTATAAAGTAGGAATCAGATTGGCAAGTGTTCAGCACACTAATTAATTTACTCATTAGTTGTTTCCCTGTCCAAAACAAGTTCTTAAGAACTGAATGGCTGCTCCACTTGAGTCTGAGACTCTTTCTCCAGAACATAGCTTCTCTCATCTGTAGATTGATAGACTAGCTATAAGAAAATGAGTGCTCAAAAAAGAAACATGCAATTATCTGGACACAAGAAAAGCTGTTATGTGCCAATATGCAAAATAAACCAGGTGCCTCCAAAACAAGATTTTCTTGGAAAGATAGTGCTACTGCTAGACAAGTGAGTTAGCATTGCTAAAGAAACAAGACATTTATAGGCCAAGACACAACCTAGAAACCCCAAACTCTTCAGTCTGTCTTGTCCTAGCCACATAAAATTCTACTTTCCAGGTCACTTATTTAGAAAGTGTATTCTGTGACTATTGATGGGAACTTTATACACAATATGTGCTTTCTTCCTACAGTTTGGGATTGAGGAAAGTTTTCCAGGCAGATTTAGTCTTGCTCTAAATGAAGAGTCAACAGCAGTTGGTGTCAATGAGGGGGAAAGTCAAAGCCTTTTCTAAATTCTGACCAGGTCTGTGCCTGGGGGCTCCAACTCCTATACTTAAAGATGAACTACTCCAGGAAACCTGGTACTGATGCTCATCACAGGAAAAAGAGGCAGCCAGGTTACCCTTCTCCATGCATTAGAATATTAGCAGTCCTGCTCTGTAGCAGTCTTTGGGAACCTATTTTTTTGCCAGACAGGGATGCTAATGTAAAAAGCCTGCAAAGATCCAACTTATTGTAAGTAAGCAGTAGTGTTGTTACTGCAATAGGTCTGACACTGAAGGCTGCTTGCACACACTGTTTTCAGGCTGCCGTGACTTGAATGGAGAGCTGCATGAACTTGGTTCCCAGTGGAGGACTGACAGCTGCCATGATTGCTCTTGTTCTGAGGGTGCAATTGACTGCTGCTCCAGGTGAGTTCAGAGCAGCAGTGGGGTTTTTCCTCTGCTGCCATGGCAAGCACAAAACATTCCTTTTTATGCAGGGGTCCCTGAGAAATGTCTGTGGCCCTTCTCTTGCTCACTTGATATCAAAAAGTTACACATTAACTCAATACCATCATCTCTGAACACACAAAAACCCTCCGCTGACAAATATACCTCATGTTTAACAAATTATTCTTGATTTTAAGAAGAGTGCTTCATCCTTCTCGGGGATAAAATTTCATGCAAGATACTGGTTCAAGAGAGAGCACATAGTTACTTAAGAAATTTCTACTGCTGCTAATTCAGGTCTTCCCAAAGCTATACATTACCCCTCTTTTCTTTGAGGGGCAGCTCAAGATACACTGGCCTGCATGTAATTTTCCTATGATGACACCCAACCACTCACGCAATTTTGCTCCATACTGTGGCTGAAGAGAAAAAGCAATGAGTAGCAAATAAACACAACAAACATTGTTTGGGTTTAAATCAGATTAGTAAACTACAACTTTCTATTCATCCTGCTTAAGCAGGGTGACTAGGTAACATCTTTATGTGAGTCCCCTTTTCTGCTCTTGAACAGCTCCCCAGTATAGACTCTTCCTACTAAAGGTGTAGATATCATCTGAAATGGAAGCTGTTTACTTCTTGGTCTCATTACCTCTTTGCCTTTCTTTTCCTGACCACAGCTTCTCAACACCATCTGACTATGATGAAGAGAACTGTGTAAGCATTTTCAACAAGGAGACCTGCACTTATAAAGTAGTGGAGAAAGATGATCACTCAAAAGAATGCCCAGTACGTACGTGGGTGGGCTAATAAAGAAGGATTGTGGATTTGGGAATTATTTCCTTTTTTGTTTGTTTTAAGGGTTCTTTCTCACAAATGAAAACAACCTGAAAAATGCAACTGTAAAGTGAAATCTATTCATAAAACCTAACACATAATAAAACTGAGTATCCACTCACAAAATAGTCCCTTGCTTTCTCTGCCTTCTGCTTCCCCATGAAGAAAGAACTGACTTGTTCCTTCCTTAAGACTATAAATTAAACATTTTAAATTTTAAAGCAACCTCAGTAGATGTTAATTATAACTCTTCTGTAGTCATAACTCAGTGCTAGGGAGTATATTGTACTATCTGCACAGCTAAAAGAATAACAGAGGAAGCATCAGAAATTCATGTGACATTTTCTTGTTTGAGAATGGAAACCTAAAGAATTAATATTAAAAAAAAGAAAAAGAAAAGAAACAAAAAGCAGCTTAAGCCTTCTGGATACTCTCTTTTCTAAGAAAGTGTCTTATATGATCTTTTATATGGCTCCCTGGAGCCTGCCCAGCTTAAGGACTGAAAAAGCCACCAGCTACCTTGGCTAACCCAGTACTTTACTTATATAGCATTCACAGCACAGCAAACCGAGTCCTCAGCCTGGGGTTTGGGTAAAAGAAAAGGTCCTTTATTCAGATCAGCCCTTAAGAAATTCAAGTTCTTAAACTGGCCAATGGGCAGGATTGCAGCTAGATGGAGATACTTCAAACATGGAAGGAGCTACATGATTCCACAAACAATAACTGAGATGGATACATTTTCCAGTATAAGCTCTCCAGCTCTCCCTCACAGTACTGCTTCATAATCTTTATGGGTACATTTGCTCAGTCGCACCATGGTGCTTGGGAATTTTAGGGTTGCTATTTCTGGTTTCCACCAAAGGAGGTGACACAGGAAAGGTAGCAGCATGGATGGAGAGAGTTTTTTTAGAAGAGCATGTAAGGATAGGACAAGGGGTAAAGGTTTTAAACTAAAACATTCACATTATGTACAAGAAAAAAATTATTTACAATGAGGGTGGTGAGGCACTGGAACAGTTGTGGATGCTCCATCCCTGGCAGTGTTGAAGACCAGTTTGGACAGGGCTTTGAGCAACCAGGTCTAATGGAAGGTGTACCTGCCTGTGGCAGGGGACAGAATGAGATGATCTTCAAAAAGGTCCCTTCCAACCTAACCCATTTTATACATGTCTTTCTGTCTGCAAGAGGCTTCTGGGTTCAGTTTTAAGGCATGTCCATTGAGAATGCCAAGTCTCAAGTAAGTGATAACCAAAGATTTATATTTTTTAAGGCCTACTAGATGTTTACATCCGAAGTCCAGAAAAGCCAGCCTGAACCAGCATTCCTATATGACCCAGACCTATTTACATTTTAAATCCACCCAAGCAGCTTTCTCCACCATCTGCTAGATCTTGTTGCAATATGCAGATCTATCATGTCAGCTATGCAGGAGTAGGAAAGATTTCATGTCTAAACCAAAGAACTTCCAGGGAACAGCCTGCTCTCCTTGTCTGCTCCAAGTTTCAACATGGGAAGAAATTATGTTACCCATTGCATCTCGTTTTGGAGCACCAGAAGCACAGCAAGGACTTGGCTCTCTTCCCTCTGAAGGAGTCTAGCTGTGGGAGGATGACAAAACCCCTGAAAAGTCAAGAAAGCAGAGACAGAGCATGCAAAGTTCTGCTTGTCAAAAGGAGGAAGAGTAAAGCAATGTTTTGTTTTGGCATTTCACTGCTTCAACACACACAGCTACAGTCTTACACAGAGAATACATTCCTCAACCCTCAAAGCTTTAGATCATAACAATTCTTTCACGATGTAGTGGAAAGGAAACACTCACAAAAGAGTTTCCTCAATTAACCTAATGTGTTAAAGGTTTAGGGGACTCTGCAGAGCCTTGGGAGACAACACAGCTCAGGCAAAGCAGAAGAGGTTGTGGGCTCTCTTCCTTCCAGTTTCCCTCTCCTTACCTGGTAGCACATAGCTCTCCTGCTAGCAAGGGAGGCAGTTTCAGAGAGCTGGTCCTCTACTCCCACTGAGTACTGGAAAGGTGTTCTTGGCCTAAAAATGAAATCTAGTACTTAGCCTATGAAGTCTTTTAAACCAAACACCAGAACACACATAAATCTGATGGAAGTTCTCCTATTAAACAGTGCTCATCACCTAAAACTTAATGGTTTTGTACCCATTCAATGTTCCATTAAGATTTTTTGCTCCAGTCTTAAAAATAAAATTCAATTTAATCACAAACAAAGAAAGTGCATTTCTCATTTACATTATGTATACCAAAGAAGCTAGAGGCTTGCAGTTCACGTTCTGCTTCATGCCATTTAGAAAAAACACAAACTCTGCTAAATTCAATTCATGACAATTTTTCTTGTTCACTTTGCTCTTAGTTCTTCTGTTGGTATGCAGAGAAGTTTGCATTGGTACCTTTTGAAAGCCTGAAAGTTTGTTCAAATCTATTGCTGCTCACATGTTTCCCTGGGCCAAGCTGTGGATTATTTTAGGGCAAACTGATTGGCTTTATAACAGGTATTTACATGGAACTCCAAAACACATAATTCACACAACCAATTTAAAACACTCAGCAAGAACGGGTTACTTTGACATTCCTCCCCACATCCCAGAATTCTGTTTTCACATTAGCTACTTTCAGAGTGTTTCAACCATTGGTCCATGCTTTTTACAGTTCTTCAGGGTTTCAGCGCTTTTGCAGAATCACTTCAAGTAGATCTCCGTTAAAAAGCAGTGATAAACTGCAGTTCTCTGCCACCACAAGATAATGTCCTTCAAATTAACGAGGTATGTTCTCCATTAATTACAGAGACTTCTGCCATTACTGCCCTGGCCTGCCAAAATGGGGCAAATCTACAGAGACAGAAACAAGCAGTTTTGCTTAACAGCTAACTATAATGGCTCAGAGACTGAAAGAATTCATTCCCTAAGCTGTATTAATACAGAAGTCATTTCAGTTTGCTGTATGAAAGACAGGGTAGATGCACTGGGCTGAAATACCAGCTTGGAACCATCCCTGATGTGTTATCCTGAGCCAAGCCAAAGTCTAATGGCACAACAGCTTCCTGAAGAGCTTTTCCTCCCCTTTCCAATTCCTAGTTTGGGACTTGCTCGATCTCTCTTAACAGCAATATCCCGTGTCCTGTGCATAGAGCAGGCTTTCCAGGGGTTGAAAGAGCTTATTTTATTTTGGTGCTCTCCTGCTTTCACCCTGCTCCTGAAGAAAAAGGGCTGCTGTTCTGCACACCAGAGGAAGCAGAGGCGAGCAAGGTTCTGGCTTGGTGTGGTATTCATTCAAAATTCTTTATACCCCTGAAGTCATAAACTGGATTATTTAACAATGTATTTTTCCAGGTCAGTTGTTCGTTCCTGTTTGTAGGATTTGGCTGTTTAAGGCAAACTATTAATCAAACTCATTCAAAGCGTATAGAGCATTGTCTTCTAATATTAACAGCAAATTATACGAACAGGTTAGGTAAGAGATCAGCTCTGTAACATTATTATGAACCCTGTAGAGACATTTGGGATCATAACACCCTTAAGTTTGGCGTCTGGTTTAGCTACATGGCTGGGCTAGGTTTTTCATATGTAACTGCTATTGAACAGTTAGTATCCCTCATTAACATCTCCATCACTTTCTTTCAACCGTCTTAAATGGGGGTACTCTCCCTTCTTTCTTCAGTAAGGAGGGGGAAAAGTTAGAATGACCAAAATTGTATCAGAAATGGAGAGTGGCAAACCAGTATTCTTTGCTTGGTGCTCACTGCCAGCAAAGAATTCCAGAAAGGACCCAAGTTTTTCAGCAAGCCAAGTAGGAAAGAAGCAGAAGCTTGATCAGGCATATTGCTATGACTACAGCCCAGCTACTTTAGTACAGTTCATTTATGTACAGATATGACACCTCTAGAACTTTATTTTTCTGATGTTGTTTTTTTTTGGTTCTCTTTGTTCTATAAATCCACTAGTCACTAGATGACATCCTAGCTCTGTCACAGGTCAGAACTACAGGGAACACAAAACCTAGATCCTGATTCAGTTGGCAAATGAGCTCCATTTCTGTTTACTCCAGTAAGGTTTGAGAACGCAAGTGGCTTTTTAGGAGTGTCTTTGGTCTATATATTTAGTCTATATCCAAGAAGGTATCATGGATGGGACTGAGTACTTTCAAGAGAGTTTTTTAACTTGAACGTAGAGGGGCCTTCCTGAATTACCCTTGATACAGGAGAAGGGTAGTTTAGGAGAACAAAACACTTAGCAATAACAATACTTCAAAGTTTCATTCAGGAAATAGATGCATTAGCACCTGTGACTGTTAATAGAGGAAAAACAGGAGTTTCTCCTTTCAGCACAGCAGTGCAAGTTGAATCAGATGTGATGGCTTATGAAAACATCACTAGGGATAAAATGGAAAGTCTAATATTAAATTCTGAAATAGGCTGGTTCATAGGAAAAATAGTGCTGGGATAGATTCTGTTTGGGAAGAGAAGCAACTTCATAAGCTTTGTTAACAGTAGAAGCATTGGTAGGACCAATCATGCTTTAAGGATTTTGGTAACCAAATTCTTACAGAACTCTCAAACTGCAGTTTTATTATATTAGCACCCCATTCCCCAAGATTTCCAGCCAAAACTTCCTCAAAGGTGCTACTGTCAGAATGTAAGAAGACAACAGAAAAACAAATGCCTGGATGCCAAATTAGTTAGTCTGTGCAACGCTGCTTACCTTCCCAAAGCCCCCAGCAAATGAGAGCTGATAAGACTACAGGTATTGGCTGCAAAAAACAAACAGCACAATATTCCACGTACAGTTCAGGAAGTGCCCATGTAACCAGCTGCTGCCACTCATCTCCTCCAGTACTAATTTGGGATAAGGATCCCAGGAAAGTTCCATTGTTTGCCTGGACCTTATAGCACAACTGACATCATGTAATTGAATTTCAGTGTTTACTGGTCAGATAAACACATTTGGAAGGGTGTAGATGGGCACAGGTTAGATTGACAAGACCAGCACCCTGTCTGCAAGAAGCAAAACAGGACATGTTGGTTTTAACACAAGGCTTCCTCACTCGAGCTGCTACCAGACTCCTGTAACTGCATAACAAGAAGTATCTCTGGGGTGTTTGAGAAGAG